AAGGAAAAGTATAAAAAAAGAATCAAATAGAAGCCCTAAAACTAAAAATGTACAGTAGCATCAATTTTGCTGGATGGGATTAAGAGCAAATTTAAAATAAAAGATACAGGTCAATAAATTTGAAAGATCCAATTAAAATAGTCAATCAGGAGAACTGGGGAGGGAAAAAGTAACCAGTGGGACAATATCTAAATGTCTGTGATTATGGCCCTCTAGGGTAAAACAGAGAGAATGGGACAAAAAATATATTTGAGAAAATAATTTTTAAATATCTTAAATAGGGTAGAAACACCAACCTATAGATCCTGCAAACTATAAGCAGAACAAATACAAGGAAAACCATGCTGATGAACATCATTGTCAAATTTGTGAATAAAATTGATGAAAATAAAATACTGACTGATCTCAACCAAATAAGATGAAACATTACTTAGAGGAAAACAAAAAGAAATGGAATGACATGTTTAAACTAGTGAAATAAAAATAAAACTAACAAACCAGAATTCTATATTCAGCACACTATACTCGAAACATAAGGGTGAAATAAAGCATTTGCAGATGAACAAAACCTGAGAAAATTAATCGCCAGTAGACTGACAGAAAGGATTAAAAATGGAAACAATGTATGTGTGGGAAACATAAAACTAGTTTCATTTAGGTTTTTTAAAATCTTTTTAAGAATCTGTTGAAGCAAAATTTGCATCATTATAAGAAAAAGTTCATAATAGCTGGAAGAAGAAAAACATTAAAATAATTCAAAGAACTGATGAGGGTGTAAATGGAACTGCTGCAAAATTCTTATATTTGTGACATATGAAGTGTAAGGTGCAATGATATTAATTCTAAATAGACCATGATAAGTTAAAAACATATTATAATTGCTATTGCAACTCCTTAAAAGAGACAAAGAGGGGCTCCCTGGAGGCCTAGGGATTAAGTCCGTGCTATCACAGTTAAGGCCTGAGTTCAATCCCTGGCCAGGGAGCTAACCCACATATGGCACAGCAGATCTTTCCTGTCTTGCCCGCTACTCCCCTCAGCAGTGTATTTCAGTCAATCTGCCTGCTCTGCTCCCCTCTCTGTCTCTGGTATATCCTCTCATCCCCACACCTCTGGCCTACACCCTAGTTCTTCTATGCAAAAATAAATAAAATCTTTTTAAAAACTGCAAAGAGATAGAAGATAAAAAGCCAATGAAAATAAAATCAAAGGTTACAAAATATTAGCTGAACCTAAAAGGGTAGCAGGGAAAAAAAAAATAGATCAGAACAAATAGGAAACAAATTACAAGATAATAGATTTAAGTCCCATCCCATCACAAGCATATGAAATGTAAATGGGCAAAACAGTCAAAGTAAAAGGCATAGCTTATAATAGTAGATTTTTAAAATTGACTATCTATAAATGAAAATATAAGGATGAGAAAAGACAAACTATGCATATGGTATTAAGCAAAAGAAAGCCGATACAGCTAGATTTTAATCAGACAAAGTGGACATTCAGATAAAGACAAGATCCAAACCTAAAGAGACATGTCACATGTCCTAATTCAACAATCCTAAAAGTGTATAGTAGTAACAGGGCTCTAAGACATATTTGGAAAAAAATGAAAGAACTTAAAGGAAAGGAGACAAATTCATAATCATATTTGGAGATTTTAAGACCCCTCTCAGTAATAAGCAGACAAGTAGACTAAACAAAGCCAGATCTGAAAAATCCTACCAGACAAGTTGATCTAGTTAACATTCACTAATATGTGCAAATACACAACATTCTTTTCAAGTACACTTGAAGCATTTATTTAGATACAGCATATAAAATGGGCTATAAAATAAATTCCATTAATTCCAAAGACAAAAGATTGTTACAACATATATGTTCTGAATACAACTGAATTTTAAATTATAAGTTAACAATAACATTTCCAGAAAAGCAAAACATATTTGGAAATCAAACAATTCATTCTTAATAACAAGAGAAATTACAAGGTGATTTAATTGAATGACAATGAGTGAACAAATTTTGAAAAGATTAAAACAATTGGTATATACCTCTAGCAAGATTCTTTTTCTAGAAGAACAAGGAGAAAGGGGGAGAGACAAAAGGAAGGGGAAAAAGGAGGGGAAAATTAGAAGGAAAAGGAAGAACAAAATTATAACAATAGGAAAGAAAACAAAAATGACAAATATCAAAAATGAAAAAGGAGATATAACTATAGACCCTATAGACATCAGACAAATAAAAGAATACTATAAGTAAGTATATAAGTAAATTGAGCAACTCAGTATATTTGTGCAATGGAATACCTCTAAGCAAAGTCTGCACACACAGAACAACATGAATAGATCTCACAGCTAGAGTATAAGTGGTGGGGGGAGGACAACATAAAATCCACACAATGTGTAATTATCTGATATTCTAGAACTGGCAAGCTAAGCTGTGGTACTAAAATCAGATGAACGGTTGCACTCTGGGCAGAAGGTGAGACAAGTGGAACTGAGTGCCAAGGGGACATATGGACACTGGATATTTGAACAATGTAATTTTGAACAATGAAATATGTATTTTAAACAATGAAATATGTATACTGTCAAGACTCATCACATTGTACACTTAACACCTGAATTCAAGTGAATGTAAATTTATTGCAATGATGCTGATTATTAAGTAGGGGGAAAAAAGAATAAAAAAAACACGACAGGAGTTGGAAACCATGTGATGAGTTTAGTCCTAGATTAAAATTCAAGAAATACTTTATTTCTCCTACAACCCTTGTAAGAGTACAGGAAGCATAAACGACGGGCCAGGAAGTGTGCTAGATGCTTTCACATATTACATCCACAAAGATTGCACCTTTAAATTCATGAGAAGAACTAACATGGTGCTTTGGAAGATGGCTGTGTTATAACTGAAAAAAGTAACAAACAAGACCTGGGTTGAAACGATGATGATTTGCGATCCTTCCTTAGCTCTATGACCACAGGCAAAACATTTAATCTTAAAGTTCTTCAATGACAGAGCTCATTTGAAGACTAAAAGATAGTAACCACAAATACAAGTTATACTATTTCATAATAAGTACGCAATATACATTCATATCAATGAAGACATGAGAGAGATAAACAATATGGACAGGGATACAAGCAGGTGAGAGAAGACAGGGTAGCACAGGTAACCAGCCCCATCTTTTTCTGTAACTCTGTGGGGTGAAGGGTGAAAGGGAGGCTGCCAAGCATGATGACCTAAGACCACGTTCCTATCATGAGTAGTAGGTCAGTGAGCTGTTGGCTCATCCTTCTGAATGAATACACCTTCACTGTGACCTGGGTCGCAGTGTCTTGGCAAGAAGCACCAAAAAAAAAAAAAAAAAAAGTGACTATCTGTATACCTAAGACTCCAAGGGGGTTTTATCCAGGTTCCAAGAGTCACAGAGTGTTTCCACTACTGTGGGCGTTTGAAATGTCAACGTAACTGGTGGGCATTGTTTAAAATGTTCCATTTGCCTTCAATTTTCAGAGCTATTGCTCTAAGTGAAACAACCAGGACAGAGACCTTCCAGATACAGCCACAGTGACCAGAGCAAGGCAGTCATGAATGTCTTGTGGTCTGGTTGCAGTAGAATTCTAGGGAATGATGCTATTCTGACAGAGTACTCAAAAAAGTACACCAGAGCATAAAAATCTAAAAGGCAACTACAACAGCTCAGATGGAATACCTGAGAAGCCATGTATCTTTACCCAAATGTAGGGGCCTTAGAGGGGTGACTAGAAATTTAATACACAATTCTAGTAATCTATGACAAGGTATTCAAAAGAAGCATTTGTTGGGGGCATACAGAGGAGAAAATGAGCCAAGTGGTGGGAGAAGAAAAAAAGAAAGGGGAAATAGTCTTGAAAAGATCGACACCTGTGCTAAACCCAAAGCCATGATGTGATTATTTGGGCCAAAGGCATCCTGGGCAGGGGTCATAATACATACAAGGACTCAAAAGGGTCAGATGGTGCCATCTGCAGAGAACTGCAAGTCATTCCATGGAGCTAGAGCATATGGTATGAAGGGAAATGAAGAGATAGCAGAGGCAGAGACAGGGTCTGGGGAAGGACCTTTTTTCTTTTTTTTAATCAGGCTATAGGAATTTACATTTTACCTTGAAGACAAGGGAAGACACCGAAGGACTTTAAGCATCTTTAAGCACGCAGTATCACAATGAAATTAGCATTTTTAAGTGATCATTCTGGCAATGGCTTGGGGAACAGATTGGAAGGGGACAAAATTAGAGACAGGGAAACTAGTCAGGAGCCTCTTGAAGTGATCCATGTGGGGAATGACAGTGGCCCAAGATAGCAACACTCAGCATGGAGAGAGGAGGCACTGGAAAAAGCTGAGAGGTAAGGTTCTTAGACTTGTTCACTCATTTATACAGAGATGAGAAAAAGGAGGACTCAAGAGAACTCCCAGATCTCAAGCTTGGACCACTGAATGGATAAGCCTGCTGGTCATGGAGACTAAGAATACATCAACTTATATTTGAAAGTATAAAACACCATGATACTGTACTAAATTTAAAAAGAAAAAATTAACACAAACAAAAGCACAGGCTGCCTTAGACAGTAGGGACTCACATCTCCGAGAAAAATCAAATGCTTAAATTCACAGAGAGCAGTAAGTCAGTGTTAAAGAAATTCCTGACATATGTTGATGAATGAATAATCAAAGAATAACACAGAAGGCAATTCACTACAAGGGTGCCATCTACTGCCGTCCAAGGATAGTGCAGCAATAAAATGCTACTACCCCTCTCCACCCGCCCCAAAAAAGGTGGAAGAGAGCCAAGTATTTTTGACCATTTCACTCAGTACATGTGCTCACAAATTATCTGAACCCTCCTACAAAAAAACCCAAATGGTTAGCACGTTTAGCTAATAGCCAACTATATCTACTTACTTATTTTCTCCTTACAACATCAATTCAATGTCATTATTTGACTATCAAACACTTACCTGCCATCATTGCTATCATACTGGCTTTGTAGACATTAGTCAGAGATCCAAGTTCTCCTGTTGCTAAGATGGTTTTGAGATGAGCCTCCCCACAGGCCTTGCGAAACTGACGAATCTCATCATACAGGGCTGGGGAAGAAATAATTGAGGCAGTTACAAAGCAGGCAAGTGATAACATAACTTGGCAGCCGTTTAGAGTTAGTAGAACCCATCTCAGATTTAGAGGACGTAAAACATTTGTCACTTTCTAAAAATCACCCCAATTTAACATTGCCTGGAGCATTCTGGTGCCATTCACATCCTGTTACAAGGAAGGCTTCCTTTGCTACCATGAAACTGTTTCTGAGCCCTGGTTTGAGGTCCAAGGCAGGAAATTTATTTAAAAAATCCTGATATGCAAATTGCAAATAATTCCTTCCTCTTATCTGGGAGGGTTACTTACAAGAAAAAAGAATACCATACACACAGGCATGTATCATCTCTGCAGACTAAAGGACAAAACCCTCCAATTCCTACTAATTCTTCTATTCACACATAATAACTTCTCATGGAATAGAAGACAGGTCTTTTCTGAGAGCTCAGTTAATATCAATAAAGACAAAAGAGCTTGCTCCACTCTCTACCAGGGTATACATCCAAGTACCTGAGTAAAAAAGGTTGAAATAGCCCAGGCAGTGTTGAATGTATGTGCCCAAAGCCAGCTGCAGAGGGATTCAGAGGTGCAGTCTCAATCTACTCAACCCTGAATCCAGTACTATATGTGATTTTCTGGGACTCCATAAAGCACCCTGAAAGCAGATTAATTTGTACTTGTATATAAGTGTGTGTGTAATATAGACATACACTACATCCACACAGCTAACCCTTGAACATCGTGGGTTTGAACTGCCTGGGTCCACTTATACACAGGTGGTTTTTAACCTTTTTCTTCCTCCAACTCTCCTCACTGATGTGAAGATAAGGATCAAGACCTTCCTAACAATACATTTCCTATTTTCTCAAGCATGTTTTTTTTCCTCTAGCTTATTTTACTGTAGGAATGATTCCTACAATACATTCAACATACAAAATATGTGTGCATTGACTGCTTATGTTATCATTGAGGCTTTCAGGGAACAGCAAGCTCTTAGCCACTAAGTTTTAGGGGAGTAAAAATTTCTATGTGGGCTTTGGACTGCATGAGCCATGGGGGGCCCTTAACCTTCAGATTGTTCAAGAATTTACACACCAAAGAAAAACTACGCATAAAAAAGCAAATGGAGGGGAAAATATTTTGTACTCAAAGTAATAGAATTTGAGTAGGCAAAATCAGTATAGTGAATATTAAATTTTTGAAATATTATTTAACACAGTCTTTTGTCATTACCTCTGTAGATTTTGGCTATTAGCCTGCATTCAGTTGTCGCATTTCCTGAACTCAGACTTTGTTACAGTAAGATCAGGGCTTTTTCTTGTATGTGTGTGTGCATGTGTGTGTGCGTGTGTGTGTGCTGAATAGCAAAGGAATATTCCTAATAAGGGTTAGGGTTAGAGTAAGCATTTTGCAATGCTAAGATGAGTTCTATAATTTATAGATTTAGTAAAGTACACAAGATTAAAATTGGCTTCATGTCTGCAAAGTCAATCCAAACCAAAAAGATGAACAAAAACTTGTCTTCAGAGTCCAAGAAAACCTGAGGTTGACTCAAAGTTTGAAAGTGAAAACAGAGTAAAAACACAGGCAAATAGTCTATTACAAGATGGCTGGACAATTTTACAGTTACATCAAGGGATGGCAGCTCAGAAAGATGTTTAAAGGAGGTCTAAATATTTTCACATATTCCTAATTATCGATAATTTTGAGATGATATGAGAGGCCAAGCTGCCTTCCTTTACTTACAATCCTACCTGAACTGTGAGGAAATCATCTTACCCTTAGAGCCAATGTGACAAGAGCAGGTATGGAACAAACAATAACAGAACACGTGGCAATAACAATTTATGTTCTTTTCCCTCAGCGAATAAATGTAGGAAGGAAAGAGTTCTAGAGTCACATAATCTAAAACGAGAAAGTTGTTCTCTAAGAATGAGTAACAAAGAAATCCCCCAATCTGAAAATTCAAGGATGTTAATTTAGTTGAGATTCAACTAATTATTTTTTTTCTTCCACTGTACAGTACTGCCACCAAAAGCAAGTTTGAGAGCCAGACAATTATGGATTTAAAGACCAACTCTGTCACCTCCTGTGTGACCTCACACTAGTTATTTCTCCTGGTGTCAGTTCTATTCTTAATGTACCAATAAAAATATTTACACTATAGGGTTACTATAAGGATTAAAAGAAAAAAAATTATCAAGTACTTCGCACATTGTCTCACATATTGTAGCCATTAAAAAAGTCTAATTGTTGTTATTAATTGGGACTTCTAGCAAAATGAGTTTCCATTAAGGGTTATGTGATAAAAGTTAAATCCTGTTTCATGGTCTGACCCATCTCTTGTATTGCACCAAATTTTTGTTGTATGGATTAATGCTTACAATCAGTGAATGATCAGATAAGGCTTGAAAATACTTTATTACAACATTTGCCAAAGTGAACTTCAGCCTGTGTGACATTAATTTTTAAAACATTAATCCTGATCATATTTACAAACAAACATATTTACTATCACCTTTTCCTAAAAAGCATTATTTTTTTATATCCAGTGGCCTACTTCACCCACAGTTCAAATTAACCAGAAAAACCAGATGTACTTTATGACTCAATGATCAGCCACCTGGAAGCAGTACTCTCTAACCCATGACCCAAACAGTACAAACCCAAAATGGTCAGGTCACGTGGAGTATGATTGGCTTTAACAAATATTCAACTGGTACCTTCTCATTTTTTAACTGACAATTCCTCAAATCATTTTACTGACATATTTTACCACATAACTGGGTCAAGACTTTCTGAGAAAATATCCTGATCTTTAAAATTCAACACTACAAAAGTTGTCATTTCCTCCTGTTAACATTCTGTCCAGTGTGTAACAGAACAATTCAATCAAAAAGCATAGCAAACCCAGCCTTCATAAACTGTGGTCTGTTATCACTATAAGGCAAACTGTTCTGCTCTTACATGAAGCCAAATATCTCTCTTCTGGATGAATCTTAATCCCTTTTTACTTACTTCGCTCCTATAATTTTACTTTCTCTGTCTTGCATCATCAACTTCTTCTCTAATGAAATATTTCTATTAGTCGAAAAATGCCGTATCTTCTGTCTTTGAAAAAAGTTCTTCTTGCTCTTCTCTTTCAGCTACTGACTTACTTCTCTGTGATCTTTCTCTCTCTCTTTACATATTAGTCTTTTAATATGTGGCACATAGCTAGTGCCTTGTCTAATTTAACATTTATGTGAAAGCCATAGAATAGACTTGGAAAATGTACAGACTGTAATTTACACACACACACACACACACACACACTATACAAACTACAGCAATAAGAAAATAAATAAAAGCAAAAATGTGGCCTGAGCTCCATCAAGTGAAGGCTTCACCGGCTCTGTGAATCTTACTATATATGCAAAGATAAAAGAACAATTAGAGATTGTTATTAGTACTACAGCAGCAGCAAAAGCAGCAGATCTAAGCATCCAGTGGCCCAGTAGACACCAGCTGCAACACAGCACTTGCACTGGTCAGTAACACTCATGCCAGCGGAGGAGCTGTTGTCAAGCTCTTCCTGTGGCACAATCTGGCTGTGTTCTCTGCTCCCAGGCTCTTATGGCACTGTTTGTTTCCCAAACCCAATTGTCCAGGCTTCCTGTTCTACAGCCTCCTAATATACTAATGAAAACACAATTGGCTTCATTAGTTTTGAATTCAACTCTAATATACAAATATCTACTGGGGTATATGGTATAGTAGACAACAGTTGGCACCCCAACTGCCTGGGGTCTTATCCCAGCTCTATTATTTTAATTTGCTGTAGGTTTGAGCAAAATGCTCAACTTTCTACCGTCATTTCAGCTTCCTTGTCTATAAAATGGGAATATAGGTATGCACACCACATGGTGTCATTTCAAGCATTAAATTAGTTAATATACATTAAGTTAAGCTCAACCATGTCAGCAATTACTGTTGTTGGCAGTAGTTCAGTTACTCTTACTCTTACTTAGTAAGCTTTTGATCATTCAGTATTAGCTTTCCATATGTTCCCTATATAAAAGCAAAACTAACTTTAAGAAGGTAAAAAGCAGGGCCTCCTCCGGTGGCGCAGTGGTTGAGCACCGGGCTGCGAAGCTGCCCGCAGCCTCTGCAGTGCCAGTTCGATCCCCTACTGCCGGCGAGGGTCCCACATGGCGCGCCGACCTTTCCTGCAGTGCCCGCTGCTTCCCTCAGCAGTGTATTTCGTCGGTCTGCCTGTTCTGGTCCCCACTCTGGCTCTGGTGAATTCCCTCCCGCACTTCTGACTGTACCTAGTGCTTGTATAAATAAATAAAATAAATCTTTAATAAATAAATAAATATATAATGTTACCTTATTAAAAAAAAGGTGAAAAGCAGCAAGTACTGTACTAATGCTTATATTAGCCTATGTTGGAATTTATAGATCTTATATAAAGGAAAAACAGACCACTTCATTCTAACTCAAGCCACAGATGCCATAGAGAAGCAAGATTCATGTCCATATAATTTTGAGCACCCTGGTGTTATAATGATCGGCAACATGGAAATTAGATGGGTGACATGTGAATCAAAGTGACAGGATGGCTCAAATATAACCTGGTCACTCTCAAATCATACTGCCCTTGAACATACCCAACTGTCACTTTCAGTATGAATGAGAAAAACAAGAGAAAAACAAAAGTGTAGATATTCCCCTAGATGAGCAGGAAAGGACACCATCACCGTGTGGATTTATATCATTACTTCTGGACTGTACAGGTGGAGGAAATTATAAGTGAAGTAGTAAGTTCAAGAGATTCTTTCCAAAAAAATTCTTCATGAGGAAGAATTGCTCAAAAGAAGAACTCCCCTAAGTTTTCAAAGCATCTCCCTTCAGAAATACTCAAAGTGTTTTCCACACATCATTTAAACATCCCTTGTGAAGTAGCTGGCAGTTACCACATTTTAGACATGAAAAGTGAAATGTTGTAAGATGA